TCACTGGTTTGTGCTTCTATCCTCCTTTCCTCAGTTACCTTGTCACGGTGATGTTGCCTGATAATACCTCTAATTTGTAGTAGAGTCTTGGGTATGAAGTATTCAATATGGTCTCCTTCAGCGCCTTCAGCAGCCAGCACATCTGCTCGTTCATTCCCACATATTCCAACATGGGAGGGGATCCCCAACATGGGAGGGGATCCACAGAAACTTGACGACTCTTCCCTGATTGGTAAGTACTCTCACAGCTCTCTTGATTTCAGCGACTATTGCAAGATTTTCTGCCCGATTTTTACTTAGGCTTTGCAGTGCTGCTTTTGAATCAGTGCAAATCACTGCACCATTAGTGTTTTGTTCAAGGAAGGTTAACGCCATAATAATGGCAATTAGCTCTGCTTGCGTTGATGAGACATAGTTCTCAATGCGTGCTTTTTCTTCATTTCTGCGTTGGAAAGCATTATCCTTAATTACAGTGTATGCTGCGCCAGCCCTGCCATTGACAGGATTAGATGACCCGTCAGTGTAGATTTGATCTAGTTCATCTCCGGCTTCTTTATAAATTTCCTCAAGATACTTGTGCCTCATTTCTTGTGGTATCATGTTGGACTTTTTCGTTGCCATTTCATTGATGATAATCCTGCATGGGTCATCCTCCCTTGGAGGAAATATTGGTTCATGTGAGGCAGATTCTGCAGACGCGTGTGATAGCATTTTCTGCTATCTGTCAAACAGAATTCAAAGCGTAACAGTCACATATAATCAAGTGCAAGCAAAGTGAAAAGTTTTGTAACCCCAGGGCACAGTGCTTGCATACTCCCACCCCCTTCCAGGGCACAGTGCTTGCATACTCCCACCCCCTTCCAGGGCACAGTGCTTGCGCCCTGGGGTTTCCCACCCCCTTCCAGGGCACAGTGCTTGCATACTCCCACCCCCTTCCAGGGCAGTGCTTGCATACTCCCACCCCCTTCCAGGGCACAGAGCTTGCATACTCCCATCCCCTTCCAGGGCACAGTGCTTGCATACCCCCCCACCCCCTTCCAGGGCACAGTGCTTGCATACCCCCACCCCCCTTCCAGGGCACAGTGCTTGCTCTACTGCTTCCTCTTACTCTCTTATCATATATAGACAAAAATACAAGTCACGGCTTCGTGTCAGCCTTTGCGGCTAATTTACAGTCCGCATGCAAATGACTTTTGGAGAAGACAATGTTAACCCATAGACCGATATCCATAAAATCTTCGATTTGGCGAAGGAAAGTGACATAATGTTTAACAGTGATAAGTTCCAGGTACTCAAATATGGTAGAAATAAAGAACTTAGACGAAACACAGAGTACAAGACGCAGTCAGACCCAAGCATAAGAGGAAAACAATATGTATTTATTCCTAGAAATAAAGCAAGTAAAGAAAGTAGAACTATTTAGGAGGAGCGTTCCTGACACATGCGTACCCCCTCTCGGCCAGACGACTACTGAGGTCTGAACTCGATTACTCCCGCTGGGAACTTGCTGCCAATAACACCATACCGATATTCACCGCAATTTATCATATATTACTATCACTGGTAGTACACCGGTACACATTTCAGCTTGCAGTTAACTGGCACACAATCTAGAGTAATTGGACAAGCAGTGACAAGAGAGAGAGAGAGTAGTTTGCACACAATGGGGACTACTTGCCCTGGCGGAGCACTACAGGCGTACTGCGGCTGTCATGGCGCCTCTGCTAAACTTGAAGAGCATAAAGGTACTCCGTTTCCCTTGCCTTATGAGGCGCATATATATAACCACATTAGGATGTCACATATAAGCCTCACAGGGGACATAAATCCACTATAACACTTTATAAACAGTGTCGTGGCAGAGTCTCCAGCATACATCAACCAGGCTCCCAAAAACCCACTCAGAGGGCATCATTATACGAATGTTTGAATGCGTGTCATAATAATTGATGTCCACCACCGCCCCTTATTCCCTATCCTCTGTCCCTGCCCAAGTTAACCTCCTTAGTGCGGTGGTCGTCGTCTTAGGTTAGGCCAATGCTAAGGTGAATTCAAACGCCTACTGAAATCCATGTTACTAAAAATCATTGAAATTTCTGTCGATGATCCAGAGTAGAAATTTGGCACCTTTCTCGTCAGAGCTCGGTGTAGGCACTCCCTCCCCATTTTCAAGCCAAAAAGAGGGGCATCTTCGAATAGCCGCCGGCTTCCTGTCCTCAACGAGGCCACTAGTGTTAGTGGCTCTCAGGTAAATTCAGGTAAAACTCCCAAGTCACTCTGCTGGCTCTCTATGATCTGAAACAGCATCTGGCAACCAGGTAAAAGAAATCTTACCGGATTATCTAGGCATCTAGATAATGGCGAGATGCCACAACCCTGTGATCTCGGGCCAGATTCACGAAGCGGTTACGCAAGCACTTGCGAACGTGTACACCTTTCCTCAATATTTGACGGCTTTGGTTACATTTATTAAACAATATACAAGAATGAAAACTTGCCAATCAACTGTTGTTATTGTTATAAACAGCCTCCTGGTGCTTCGGAGCTCATTAACTGTTTAATAAATGTAAACAAAGCCGGCAAAGATTGAGAAAAGATGTACAGGTTCGTAAGTGCTTGCGTAACTGCTTCGTGAATCAGGCCCCTGGACTCTAGGGGGGGGGGGGGATGGGATGGAAATCTCCAAGAGACACCATTAGCTGCCATATTCCTTTTCCAGTGCCTTCCCCCCTCCCCCCTCCCTGAGTGTGGAGGCAGGGAGGGGGGAAATGTTCACATTTTACTAATCTTTGAAGCGATATTTGAAACCATAAATGACCTTGTTGTTGTTGTTTAAGATTTGCTACTTGGAACAAAAAGTTCCAAGTAGCACGGGCTATGGTGAGCCCGTAGTTAATGACCTTGTTTTAAACATACCAAAGAGTATATTTTAGCGTATTATATATGAAATTGGACTCGAATTCAGTGATATTCCTGTTGATTAACGATTTGGTAAAGGCTTAATGTACGAGAATGGACGGTAAAGCGACGGTCTCGCTTCATGCAGGTCGGCGTTCTATCTCCGACCGTCCATATAAGTGGTTGAGCACCATTCCTTTCCCCTCCGTCCCATCCCTAATCCTTATCCTGACCCCTTCCATGTGCTATATAGTCGTAATGGCTTGGCGCTTTCCCCTAGATAGTTCCCGTCCCTTGTATATATAAATAAAAAAAAAATTCTCGGTCTTAGACTAGTTAACAGCCTTGTTCCTCAGTCACTTAAATGACCAAACAATGCCTCAGATTCCTGGGGCCAGAGTCACGAAGCAGTTACGCAAGCACTTACGAACCTGGGGCCAGATTCACGAAGCAGTTACGCAAGCACTTACGAACCTGGGGCCAGATTCACGAAGCAGTTACGCAAGCACTTACGAACCTGGAGCCAGATTCACGAAGCAGTTACGCAAGCACTTACGAACCTGTACACCTTTTCTCAATCTTTGGCGGCATTGGTTACAAATTATTAAACAGTTAATGAACTCCGAAGCACCAGGAGGCTGTTGAACAATTCGTTTCACCAAAGATTTTTCCTGTTGGGCAATGTACACATATTATCACATTTATTACCAGGGCTTTGATAAACACATTCCCCTTAGTGAAATTGGGTGAGGGTTCTTAATCGACACGGGTTCGAATCCACTCAGACTTTTTAAACAACCGCATTGATAATTACAGGTGAGAATCCTTATCAAACCTGCTTCTGATTTTCTTATTACAAATTATGTAATGTACACCCCCCCAAAAAAAAAAAATATCTTATTTTTAAAATATTAAATTAATTTTGGATGTGATGAGTATTTGTCTATTGCTGGTTATCTATTTTATCTATTGAGCGTTATCATAGTTCATGGTCTAGTTATAAGTCTTATCATCAAGTTTGGATAATGTGAACAAATTAACGTTGTGTGAATTTGCAGTGCAACCAAAGATACAGAAATATTTTGGATTTTAAAAAACTAGTCTAGGTTTGTAATTCTTACTATTCTTGGATTAATGATTAACATTTAATTTTCCCTGAAAAATCTATATATATATATATATATATATATATATATATATATATATATATATATATATATATATATATATATATAATTGTTGTCCCAGTGTGTAATTATTAAATCAATAGTCACCACCTGCAAGCCTGGAACTTCTTTTTCTGGGTCCAGATTCACGAAGCGGTTACACAAGCACTTACGAACCTGTCCATCTTTTCTCAATCTTTGGCGACTTTGTTTACAATTATTAAACTGTTAATGAGCTCCGAAGCACCAGGAGGCTGTTTATAACAATAACAACAGTTGATTGGCAAGTTTTCATGCTTGTAAACTGAATAATAAATGCAACCAAAGCCGTCAAAGATTCAGGAAAGATGAACACGTTCGTAAGTACTTGCGTAACTACTTCGTGTGAATCTGGCCCCTGGTAGGGCGATGGGAGGCGACGTCTTCAGTGCATCTCGTGAGTGTGTTGAGACTCTTGTCAGATTAATAGGATCATCTTGGCTCTGTTGTTAAAATACGGTGATTAAAATGACCAATTTCTTGGCTGGAGTGGTTGGGCTGTTATGCCTGTGTTTTGACTTCAATTGTAACTTATTGTTTTTTTTCTTATGTATATAGATATATTTATTTTTTTCTTCGACATTGTTTTGTAGTTTGTTTTGATGTAAGGCAAAAATGTTGGGGGAAGCTAAGTGGAATTATTGCTTAGGGATCTCTCTCTGTCTCTCTCTCTCTGTCTCTCTCTGTCTCTCGCTCTCTCTCTCTCTCTCTCTCTCTCTCTCTCTCTCTCTCTCTCTCTCTCTCTCTCTCTCTCTCTCTCTCTCTCTCTCTCTCTCTCTCTCTCTCTCTCTCTCTCTCGATCCTTCCTTCCTTCCTTTCCCTACAGCGACTATGGAGCACACCTACAGGCACTAACCACTATCTACAGGCACTAACCACCATTCTCTCTCCCCACAGCGACGCTGGAACCCACCTACCAACAGCTCCAGACGATGCGACTGGACAAAAGCCCCTTCGTTATCATCTCCGTTATCGGGCAGGAGCTGCTGGCGGCCGGACACTACACCGCAGCTGTCGTTGTCTTGGAGTCGGCGCTCAAGATTGGCACATGCTCCCTGAAGCTACGGGGCTCAGTCTTCTCGGCGCTCTCCTCGGCTTACTGGGCGCTCAACTCCCTGGATAAGGTGAGGGGGTGCTCTCTTCTTGGTGTTCTGGGGGGGGGGACATGGGGTAAGATTCACGTAGCAGTTACGCAAGCACTTACGAAGCTGTACATCTTTTCTCAATCTTTGGCGGCTTTGTTTACACTTATTAAACAGTTAATGAGCTGCGAAGCACCAGGAGACTGTTTGTAACAATAACAACAGTTGATTGGGAGGTTTTCATGCTTGTAAACTGTTTAATAAATGTAACCAAAGCCGTCAAAGATGGAGGAAAGATGTATACGATCGTAAGTCTTTGCGTAACTGCTTCGTGAATCTGGCCCCATGGTGTTAAGGATTGGTGGATTGCTGTGGGATAACAATTTGTAGAGTTTGGTTAGGGGTTAGTGGTCTTCTTTCTGGGGATAACATTCTGTGACCTTGTGGGGGAGGGGTTGAGGGACTAGTTCTTCATTAGTACTAGCCTTCTGTGGCCCTTAGAAGTTAAGAGGATGTGTTGAGATTAGTAGCTTTCTGAAATTACTATCTGTGGGATTTATTGTAGTGGAGGATAACATTGTGGTAGAGGTTGTGGTGAAGGGCATGGCTGTGGTGGATGTTGTGGTGAAGGGCATGGCTGTGGTTGATTCTGTATGTCCTGTACCCTCTTAGAGGAGAAGGTCTACACTGGGAAATGTGGCATTGAAAATGATTTACATTTGAGTTAGTTCAATGGGAGAAGTAAGGGGGGTTTCCAAATGGCCTGTTAACAAAGGACTTCATCGTGGACCTTCCAGGATGAAGCCCTTCGGGGGCTTCGAACCCCCAGAAAAAAAAAAGAATCGATCAAACGCCTTCAGCTTCTCTTAGCATCGGAGGGAAGATTAACCTAAGCTGTATACGAGACTAAGAAGTCTTTCAAGCTCACATCCTTTGAGATTTACATCTTGAAAATCACTTACAATGTAAACATCATTTGCCGGCAAGGATAGTTGTTTTCCTGCTGGAGTAGCTAGTTGACTGGTTGGGATAACTGGTTAGCCGGCTGGCTGACTGTCTGGTTAGCCAGATCCTGGCTTGCTTGCTGGAATGGCCGGTTAGTTGATTCACTATCTGGTATAAATGATTGACTGACAGGTTAACAAACTGATAAAGTGATTGACTAATTGTCTTACCGACTACTGAATGACTGACTGCTGGTCCCTGGCTGGCTGTCTGAATGGGCCAATTCATTTAACTGCTTGGCTACGATGACTGGCATTGGTGGGGGGCCGACGTGCTGGTCCACTGTCTTCTAACAGGACGGCTAACTGGTTGCAGACTGACTCTCCGGTGAGTTGGACTCCTGGCTGGGGCCGAATACAAAAAAACGCGGGAAACTGTTCAACGGTTGTGGGTCGGTGCTTGGGGGAGAGTGGGCAGGCGTATTGTGGAAGTAATGTGGCCTCAACCATGCAGAACGCTGAACAGTGCACCAGCACGCGGCTCTGCAACCGTGAGCTCTGGCCTTACAGGGTATATGTTTAAGGAGCCATCCAATGGAATATATCTTTTGAGGGCTGTTGAACAGCAGGGGTGTTGGGATAGGATGATTACATGTCTTCTGGCCATTGAACATGGTATTTTGGGGTGATGGGGAAGGGGGGGGGGGGGGACTTGAGGGTCTTCGAACTGGGGCAGCTCTTTGAGGGTCTTCGAACTGGAGCAGCTGTTTGAGGGTCTTCGAACTGGAGCAGCTCTTTGAGGGTCTTCGAACTGGAGCAGCTGTTTGAGGGTCTTCGAACTGGGGCAGCTCTTTGAGGGTCTTCGAACTGGAGCAGCTCTTTGAGGGTCTTCGAACTGGGGCAGCTCTTTGAGGGTCTTCGAACTGGAGCAGCTGTTTGAGAGTCTTCGAACTGGAGCAGCTGTTTGAGGGTCTTCGAACTGGAGCAGCTGTTTGAGGGTCTTCGAACTGGAGCAGCTCTTTGAGGGTCTTCGAACTAGAGCATCTGTTTGAGGATCTTCGAACTTGAGCATCTCTTTGAGTGTCTTCGAAGTAGGTCTTCTGTGATAAATCCCCCCTGAAATTCCTCCGCCTCTTCCTTCACCATTTCTCGACTTTACGGCACCTCTTATTGAACCATAGAGTGATTATCTTCCCTTCATCTTCCTCCTCATGTCGTACGCGTTTGTATTCTGACTTCGGCCATCTCAATGTAGCAAACTACAACATTTAATTTATCGATTTAATTTATCGATTCTTGTGACGGTGTGGTCATCGTATCATTATTTAGTAATGGAGCCCCAGTATGCTTTATTACTCTTTATTGTACTATTTCTTATAGCGTTCACAAACAAAATCAAGCTATTAACTAAACTTTATTATTTGTAGGCCTGCTGGAGCACATGCATGTTCTATATTAGGCCTCAGATAGCGCTATTAGGCCTAGAATGGTTAGCTTTAATATAAATCTAAACATAAATATAAAAGCTTACTATAAATGTTTACTCCTTTCTCCTGCTGCTTCACGACATACGTGTACTGTTCATTATGTAGTTAGTATATGTACGGCCATTTTAGGAGGGTGAGTTGTATTGAACGTGTACGACACAGTTCTTGGGATTTGTGTTAACTCTAGTCTTGGAACTCTCTCTCTCTCTCTCTCTCTCTCTCTCTCTCTCTCTCTCTCTCTCTCTCTCTCTCTCTCTCTCTCTCTCTCTTCTCTCTCTCTCTCTCTCTCTCTCTCTCTCTCTCTCTCTCTTCTCTCTCTCTCTCTCTCTCTCTCTCTCTCTCTCTCTCTCTCTCTCTCTCTCTCTCTCTCTCTCTCTCTCTCTCTCTCTCTCTCTCTCTCTCTCTCTCTCTCTCTCTCTCTCTCTCTCTCTCTCTCTCTCTCTCTCTCTCTCTCTCTCTCTCTCTCTCTCTCTCTCTCTCTCTCTCTCTCTCTCTCTCTCTCTCTCTCTCTCCTTGTATTAATACTAGACCTAAACAGCAAAATACATTTTTTTCATTCTACCTCTACATTCTACTGTCTGTGTAACCTTTTATTTCTTACTTATCACGTTACCTATTTACCCTCACCTTTTGCCCTCCAAAAAAAACCTCTTTTGTTTTAATATATTTCTCATTACCACCACAAAACTCATTCTCAAAAATCCAAGTGAAACCACAGGTGTGAGCAGTTGTATGCGAGCTGTTAGTTCACTAACAGGGGTGACGCAGGCAAATATCCTGTGCAGGGAGTAGAGTAGATCCACGCACATGCTGGATTAGTATTCTTCCCAAGGTGAGTGTAATAACTCCCGTGTCTCCCTCTCACACAGGCCGTGTCTTACATGCAGCAGGATCTGGCCGTGGCCAAGTCCTTGGGAGACATCGCTGGGGAATGTCGGGCCCACGGGAACCTCGGCAGCGCCTACTTCAGCAAGGGGAACTACAAGGAGGCCCTCACCTCTCATCGGTACCAGCTGGTCCTTGCTATGAAGTGTAAGGATACTCAAGCCGCTGCCTCCGCCCTCACCAGCCTCGGTAAGTTACTTTCAGATTCTCCTTCGGCTACTGGCGTCTTGACTTTGTCTCTTGTCGAAGTGGAGATTGTCGTCTGCGTTCTCCGGTGGCCTCTTGGCTGAGTCTTGTCGACCGTCTGCGTCTTCCGGTGGCCTCTTGACTGAGTCTTGTCGACCTGGAGGTTACCGTCTTCGTTCTCCGGTGGCCTCTTGACTGAGTCTTGTCGACCGTCTGCGACCTCCGGTGGCCTCTTGACTGAGTCTTGTCGACCGTCTGCGTCTTCCCGTGGCCTCTTGACTGAGTCTTGTCGACCTGGAGGTTACCGTCTGCGTCCTCCAATGGCCTCTTGGCCGTGAGGTTAATTTCTTAAGTGTCTCATTATTTGTTGATTTGGATAACAATTGAAATTTGTTTTAATTGTGGCTGCTTGATGTGTGTTTATCTCTGTGGTAGTGGACAGGGTGTAATTATCCCCAACTAACCTGTCACTGCCCCTGAAGGCCGTAGACGCGATTGTTCGCGTCTGGTAAGTATGGTTGCGCCCCAAAGCGTCACTGTCCGGGCAGTGACCAATGGGAGGTCACTTGGCCGCCTGTGGTATTCACTCTCTGACTGGCTAATAAGCAGTTAATATGTTCCCAGTGTAGAGTACTTTCTCCCACGTGGACAATGGAGTCTGTTTGGTGGACAGGGTTTTTGGGTACAGTGGTTCGAACCCCCCCGATGGGGGGACCAGGGTTGCAACCCCCCTCCTCATGCCAGGCTCGTCCAAGCGGCGACCCACCCCCCCAAAAGACGCATTCATAAGTTTAAAAGTACTGTGTATTCAACATTTTTTTTTTCTAAAAAATATATATTTGTATGAGAATTTTGTGCATAGGCGTAGGTTAGGTTTGGTGTTTAGGTTCTGTTGGGAGTTATGTATGTGGTGCGTGGGTGAAGCATTTACACAATGACAATTCGATAGACACGAACTTCAAGGAAGTTCAAACTTCGAACTTCGAAACACTTCAAGAACTTCGTACTTCGGAACAAGAACTTCGAAGCACTTCAAGAACTTCGCACTTCAGAACAAGAGCTACGAAGCACTTCAAGAACTTTGTACTTCGGAACAAGAACTTCGAAGCACTTCAAGAACTTCGCACTTCAGAACAAGAGCAACGAAGCACTTCAAGAACTTTGTACTTCGGAACAAGAACTTCGAAGCACTTCAAGAACTTCGCACTTCAGAACAAGAGCTACGAAGCACTTCAAGAACTTTGTACTTCGGAACAAGAACTTCGAAGCACTTCAAGAACTTCGCACTTCAGAACAAGAGCTACGAAGCACTTCAAGAACTTTGTACTTCGGAACAAGAACTTCGAAGCACTTCAAGAACTTCGCACTTCAGAACAAGAGCTACGAAGCACTTCAAGAACTTTGCACTTCGGAACAAGAACTTCGAAGCACTTCAAGAACTTTGCACTTCAGAACGAGAGCTTTGAAGCACTTCAGAACAAGAGCTTCGAAGCACTTCAAGACCTTTGCACTTCAGAACAAGAACTTCATAGCACTTCAGAACAAGAGCTTCGAAGCACTTCAAGGATGAGCCAGAGCACACACACACACACAAGCACAAATAGGTGACCCACACAAATAGGCGACACACATCCCCCCACACACACACACACACACACACCCACACACACACACACACACACCACCCACACACACACACACACACACACACACCACACACACACACACACCCACACACACACACCACACACACACACACACACACACACACACACACACACACACACACACACACACACACACACACACACACACCCACACACACACACACACACACACCACACACCCACACACAGGGAACTGTGCCTTACGACACTAGAAAGAAGAAGGGGGAGGGGGGACATGATAGGAACGTATAAGATACTCAGAGGGATTGACAGAGTGGACATAGACGAAATGTTCACACGGAATAGTAACAGAACGAGGGGACATGGATGGAAGCTTGAAACTCAGATGAGTCACAGAGATGTTAGGAAGTTTTCTTTTAGCGTGAGAGTAGTGGGAAAATGGAATGCACTTCAGGAACAGGTTGTGGAAGCAAATACTATTCATAATTTTAAAACCAGGTATGATAGGGAAATGGGACAGGAGTCATTGCTGTAAACAACCGATGCTCGAAAGGCGGGATCCAAGAGTCAATGCTCGATCCTTCAGACACAACTAGGTGAGTACACACATTTTTGTCTGACGTAGTGACAATTTTTATTTCATTCTACACAGACTTGAGTGAACAGCTAAGGATGTTGTTACTCAGAGTAGGATGAAAGGGGGCTCGTTCTGTAGCCCCTGGTCTTCTCCAGCTGCTGGGAGGGGTATAGGAAGGGAAGGAAGAGAAGGGGGAGAAGGGAAGGAGGAGAGAGATAGGAGGGAAGAGGGGGGGGGGGAGATGGGAAGGGGTTAGTTACAATAGCGTTAATGACATGTCAGTGTTATTGTGTTGAGAAATCAAGGGACTTGAAGGCTGTTATTAGTTACTTGTTGTTAAGCTGGTGTTATGGTGGTGGTGGTGGTGGTGGTGGTGGTGGTGGTGGTGGTGTGGTATGGTGGTGGTGGTGGTGGTGGTGGTGGTGGTGGTGGTGGTGGTGGTGGTAATGGGTGGTGGTGGGTGGTGGTGGTAATGGTGGTACTTGTGAGAAGGGGGAAGTTAGTAGAGGATGGTGGTAGTTGTTGTGGTGTATGTGTGGGGGGAAATTTGACAGCCTCACGCTATGAAGGAAGTCTAGGAGCAGCTTCACGCTGTCAAGGAAGGCTAGGAGCAGCCTCTCGTTGTCAAGTGAAGTCTAGGAGCAGCCTCTCGCTGTCAAGTGAAGTCTAGGAGCAGCCTCTCGCTGTCAAGTGAAGTCTAGGAGCAGCCTCGCGCTGTCAAGGAAGGCTAGGAGCAGCCTCTCGCTGTCAAGTGAAGTCTAGGAGCAGCCTCTCGCTGTCAAGTGAAGTCTAGGAGCAGCCTCGCGCTGTCAAGGAAGGCTAGGAGCAGCCTCTCGCTGTCAAGTGAAGTCTAGGAGCAGCCTCGCGCTGTAAAGGAAGGCCTAGGAGCAGCCTCTCGCTGTCAAGGAAGGCTAGGAGCAGCCTCGCGCTGTCAAGGAAGGCTAGGAGCAGCCTCTCGTTGTCAAGTGAAGTCTAGGAGCAGCCTCGCGCTGTCAAGGAAGTCTAGGAGCAGCCTCTCGCTGTCAAGGAAGGCTAGGAGCAGCCTCTCGTTGTCAAGTGAAGTCTAGGAGCAGCCTCGCGCTGTCAAGGAAGTCTAGGAGCAGCCTCTCGCTGTCAAGGAAGGCTAGGAGCAGCTTCACGCTGTCAAGGAAGGCTAGGAGCAGCCTCACGCTGTCAAGGAAGGCTAGGAGCAGCCTCTCGCTGTCAAGGAAGGCTAGGAGCAGCTTCACGCTGTCAAGGAAGGCTAGGAGCAGCTTCACGCTGTCAAGGAAGGCTAGGAGCAGCCTCTCGCTGTCAAGGAAGGCCTAGGAGCAGCCTCTCGCTGTCAAGGAAGGCTAGGAGCAGCCTCTCGCTGTCAAGGAAGGCTAGGAGCAGCTTCACGCTGTCAAGGAAGGCTAGGAGCAGCCTCTCGCTGTCAAGGAAGGCCTAGGAGCAGCCTCTCGCTGTCAAGGAAGGCTAGGAGCAGCTTCACGCTGTCAAGGAAGGCTAGGAGCAGCCTCTCGCTGTCAAGGAAGGCTAGGAGCAGCTTCACGCTGTCAAGGAAGGCTAGGAGCAGCCTCTCGCTGTCAAGGAAGTCTAGGAGCAGGGGAAGGTAGTGGTGCAAGTTATGGTGTGATGGTGGAGTGAGGGGGGAGGGTGGTGCTGCGCCCCCTCAGAGACCCCTTACTACAAAGATACAAGGGGTGACGCAAGGGGTGACGCAGGAGTGACGCAAGGGGTGACAATACCATGATGACTTCCATTGTACCTGGGGTGACACTATGCTAAAAGGCTGCTCGCAAGATGCTGTCCACTCTCAGTACATATATGTGTGTACACTCGTCTCTTGGGGCTTGCAGGATCGAGCTTCAGCTCTAGGAATCCGCCATTCAATTCGGTAGTTGACTAATGCAAATGACTTCTGAAATCTGATTTTCTATCTGTGTATTTGAAATTTATGAATGAGTTAGCGTCTGTAATTGTGTGTGTGGTGTGTGTGTACTCACCTAGTTGTACTCACCTAGTTGTGTTTGCGGGGGTTGAGCTCTGGCTCTTTGGTCCCGCCTCTCAACCGTCAATGAACTGGTGTACAGATTCCTGAGCCTATTGGGCTAGGGTGTGTGTGTGGTGTGTGTGCTGATTTAGATGTGTTAAACGGGTCACTCGATAGCTCCTAAGCCCCGCCTTAGAGCGTCTCATCAGTTAAGAAGAGTTAATGTATTTTTAATGTGGCTTTTCTGTAGAACGCACCTGTCAGGGGACTCGAGGTCAAACACACAGTGTTGTTATGTTGTTCATTGGTCCCAAATACAGGTGTGTTATGCTTCCAACACCCCGCTGGTGATGACTGAAGGGTTGACACCCTTGGAACCTCAAGTGAAGCCTTCACCTTTGGTGTCAGAGGGCCTGAAGCCTGCCGTTGGTGGAAGCCTAGACATCTACCTAGTTATGTGGATGTCTCCCAACATCCACCTAGTTATGTGGATGTCTCCCAACATCCACCTAGTTGTGTGGATGTCTCCCAACATCCACCTAGTTGTGTGGATGTCTCCCAACATCCACCTAGTGTGTGGATGTCTCCCAACATCCACCTAGTTATGTGGATGTCTCCCAACATCCACCTAGTTGTGTGAATGTCTCCCGTCACCCAACCTGTCATCCAACACGTGTCGGAAATATGCCTACCTATGCAGACGAGGAGTCACAATAACGTGGCTGAAATATATTGACCAGACCACACACACACTTGAAAGTGAAGGGACGACGACGACGACGTTTCGGTCCGTCCTGGACCATTCTCAAGTCGATGGTGAGGTCGT